AGTCTCAGGCAGCACTCTGCTTTCTCACAAACTTTTCCAGGTGATGATCTTAAACAGTTTCTGTGCTTTTAAAACTATCATATTGCCCCTGAGGTTTTATTTGCATTGGCCTATCCCACATCCCTGCATGGGAAATCTTTATACTCTCCCTTAAAAAAAAAAAAAAAAAAAAAAAAACACTGAAATACCTCCTCCAGCTTCATGCCAGGCTCTCCTTCAAAGCAATTCAGAGAACTTTGTTTGCTCAATCTTTTAACATGAATTAAGTCTATTTCCAGTTCCAGGTAAATACATGCAATATATAGCAATATATAGAGCGCTGGCAAGAGGCTGGTGTTTTCTTGGATAGTTACACAACATGTGCCTTCCTTATCAGCCCTGGTATGTTACATTTGGCATGCACTGCAGAGAAGCTGCTGTTATGCAATGGGAATTTGGAAGATCTCTTGTACGCAGTTCTCCTCCTCCAATTCAAGAAATGAATACGAAATGAAAGCAAAGAATCCTCCACTTTCTGCTGTTTTCCCTTGCTGAACTGTACACTGAGTACACAGGACTTACTTGCATTTCACTAAGTCTGTCTCCCTCCTCCAATAGCAGTGATTACTGCTGCCCTGATGTAAGTCTATGAAAAGACAGCATGCACAGATGTGCCTTGCAGCTGTGAAACGAAAGAAAGAAATCAGAGAGACTCTGCCAGCTTTTGCTCATCTGCATATAAACTTCCTTTGACAGAAAAGTTGGGGAAATACAGAAACAAAGAAAGCCCCTTGCTGCTTTGAAATAGGGATTTAGAAGGGAATCGGCTCCTTGTGTTCACTTTGAGCAAAAAATTGCATAAAAGACAAAGCATAAGTCAGACAACAAAAGAAAGAGAATTACTGAATGCACACACACACAAAGAAATGGGGGACAGGGAAAGAACAATCAAAAGCAATAGGAAAGAGGCAGACAGATTGCCCATTAACTATCAGGTTAAGGGAAAATTCTGATTTTTTTTTTTTTTTTTGCTATACTTCCCCCTCTTTAGTACACAGCACCCATTCCCAACGGCTACCTTCTGATGGAGTGAGCATGCCTTAAAATAGGGTGGAGGAGGTGCCTGGTGCCTGCAAAACTTGGCAAACCCCTTTCACTCAGCTGACAGGTCAAAACACAAACCAAAACCATGGCCAAACATGTGCGTCACTATCCACAGCTGCACTTCACCCTAGGCTTATTTACTGTGTGCAGACCACATAGTGCCCAGCAGGAACCGCCCCAGCTGCGCCCAAAGGGCTACGGCACAAGCTCCAAGAGGAGCTCCAAGCTGCCCAGGAGCAGGCACTGCTCAAGGCTAAAGAGGCAGTGCAAAGATAACCCTGCAGCAACTCCTTGGTCTGCATTTGTTAAGCTGTTACATAGTAACCACGATGTGAATACATGGGTATGTACATCCATGGCAGACGTATAAACACGTATAAACATACAGTCAACGAGAGCACCTGCTTATGAAGCTTCTCTCTTCCCTTGATGCTGAAAAGGCGCATTAGAAGCAAGCCAGAAGGAGAGTCAAGGACCTCTGCACAAGCCCGTGCGAGTGCTGTCAATGGGCCCCGTGGCTCTGGGACTCTTCAATGAGCCAAGTCCTGCTGTCAGGCAGGTAGCCACATACTTGTTTCCATACAGGCAGCAGACAGCTGCATCACAGACAAGTGATGTCAAGGCAGATACAGAAGGCAAATCATTTCTGAATTAGAGAGACAGAACAAGAATAAAATTGTCCATGCCAACACAACCATAGCAGTAAAGGCGGGGGGTGAGGAGAATCACTAATTTATCTGTTGTGCATGGTTTATTTTGATTATAAATCACTCATTGCTAGCATTCTATGAGCTAAACCATTCACCTCACTTTTCTAGAGCCCAAATCACAGCCCTGAATAACCTTTTTCATTTGCCATTTGTATTTCCTGTGCGAGATGGTGATATTTATAGCAACTTTCTCAGTCCCTTGCTCAGCAGACTGTTACAACTGCTCCTGAAGACACATTGACAAAATAGTTGTAGAAGGCTACTCCAGCTTTGGATCTTGTAACAAGTACCTGTAGACAGTCACCTGCCTACAACGGTATGAGTCAGAGGAAATTACTGTTTATAGTTTAGAGGACATGTGACAGTGAAGTGGTAAGGCCTCTGGCTTGAATAGCTTAGATTTAAATTAGTTGAGGCAGCAGAGGAGGGAGGACAAGCAAAAGCAAGTCCTGCGAAGTCATGACACATGGCACCCGGTACTAGGTCACCAGGCAGGAAAGAAGTCCCTGGCTTTGTTATCAACACTGTGCCCATGTTCAAGTGCTTGCTTCCTGGAGATTTTTCAAAAAACACCCAAAGCCTTTTGGGGCTCTTAGAAGTTAGCTCTTAATATGATGCAGGTAGGATAGTACATTTTGTTTTCATGACTAATGGTTGATGGGGCTGCAGAAGTTAGACTAAAAAATGTCAAGTATTTCTGCAGAGAATGGAGCAGCTAGGACACGTGGTAGACCCCAGGCACAGGTGGTCCTGCCAGATGAATTCCTGCCATCCACAACATGGAGCTGACGTCGTGGGGGTGCTCTGACAAAGGTGGCAAGTGTCCTGGAGCACTGGCAGCCTTCTAGAGAGGAGAGGGGTGCATAAACAGAAAGTAGACCACAAAACAGTGTCCCAGTCAAAAAGCAGCTATCAGAAGGGTGTGTGTGCATGTACAGGTGGGGAGGGAGAATTGCAATTAGGACACAGGGACCAACAGACAAATAACAGGACAAAATTATCTTACACCTAGGCTGTCAGTACACAGATATCAGGACACAGGACACATTGGAACAATTACAGTTCTTACACAGCTAATGGGGACGGCAGGGAATTGTGGAATAAAAAAAGAAATCACTGAACAAAATACTGTTAAATAGGACACAAGCAAGAGAAACTGAAAGAGAAAGAACAGAAGCTATGCAACAAAAGCTACAATATAGACTACATCATCAAAAATAACAAGAACAGCGTTCTGATAACAAAAATCAAATATCTGTTGGAAAAAAAAACAGTCCAGCAGGAAACAGTTCATCGAGTTCTTACAATGGAGTGATTCCTGTAGCTTGCACAAACTAAGTCCAAAGTGATAACCAGGATGAAACTGGTTAGGCCAAAAACCACACACAGTCAGTCACGAAATGAGCTTGGCATTCTGGATGCCAGAGGAAAGGAAAAAGCAAGCAGCAGAATAAAAATGTTCTTGTGTATTTCAAAAAGTCGCTTATTAGCAGGTTTCCTCTCAAAATAATTCTTAGAAATAACACAGGGAGTTGGGGAGAGGAGGGAAAACTATATTCTAAGTAGGTGGAGGACTAAATAAGCAAGTTGTAGATCCAACAAGAGCTGAACAGAGAACATTCCCCTTCTTTACCTCAGGGGGCAAAGGGCTGTGCATTACCTAACAGATAGGAGCATGAACAAAAGCAGATTCAAAAATATTTGCATAAACTACATGTATTACACTGCATTGCTTAAAACTGGAGCAACGAAAGTAACTAGGACCAGTAGTGATATATTTAAACTTATTTAAGCTTAAAGGATACTGGTAAGGTTTCAGTGTGCTAGAGAAGGAATAAAATGATAGTGAAAGAAAAAGTCTATTTCTAAAAACAACTTTAAATATTGAACATTAGCACTTCTGATACAAATGCCATCCCCAAACTCAGCAAAATATAAGTTTAAAATATACCATATACTTTTCTTCCACATTAAAGACTACCAGATTTACACAGCTAAGCTTATGGAAACCCACAGGACAAATTAGCCTATAAAAAAATAAAAGCAAAACAACCCTTCCACCACCCCCAAATACCCTGACAGTGACCCTGACAAAAAGACACTTGTTTTAAAAAGGTTGAGTCTGGTACTTTGGACACCAGGTTCAAACCTAAGGGAGCGCCCCACCAGTCAGTTGACTTCTAAAGGGTAAACCTTTCACAAAAGGCTGACTACGCAGGAGTTCTGCTGCAACTAAGATGACATTTACAGTAGTCTAGTAAATTTTGGAAAAAATAAATTACCCCTCAAAGGTCTACACAAAACCATCAGTCTCCTAATTCAGATTTATGCATGCTCCAACAAAAGACAGAAGTGAAGGTGTCACTGAATGATTTTAGAAAGGATGTTTCATCGTTTTAGTAAGCAAAAGCTCAGCACCTTGCATATCGAGAAACCAAATATTCTGTGTAGCTGTTAAACAGAAATCCAGAGTCTAAAAATCAAATTTAAAATTCTTGAGAAGAATACTGAAGAAATACCCAGAGAACATTGCAGAGGTTGTACTACAACATTTTACTTCATTTAATTACAGCAAATTTCACCATTCCTATGATTTATAAAGTACACTATGATTTATAAAGTACACAAAATCTGTACATAAAGGAAGCCAAAACCCATCAAGAGATGATCATAAATGTGTGTATGTACATGTAATATACACACAAAATGTGCAAATTTTTTAATGCAACTTAAAGCATATGCAGGACAGAGTTGTACAATGCTAAGGGAACAGAGTATTCTAGTATCCGTATGATAATTTTGAATCTATGGCCAGTGCAAACTTAAAAGGCACAAACTCAATGCTGACACTGTAACTCTGTAAGGTACATTCAGGCACATCTCAATCTATACTTGAAAGATTGATGGAAGTGCCAGCCCTTCTTCAGGATCTAAGCACTAAATTGATGCAGTCGCTACTCAACAGATATGAGCAGGGTTCTGAAAGTCTGTTACTAGATCATCTGTTATCCTTTTCTCAGGTATGAAAGCATGCTATTTCCCCATATACCTTCCTTAATCCAAAGACGATGTAAACTTTGCAGGTCTTGACATATAGAATCATACAGGATGCTATTCATACTTTTTCATACTTTAAACTCCTGCAGAGAATATATCAGATAAAAAAAAGAAGGAAAGAAAGAAAGAAAGAAAGAAAGAAAGAAATACCCTCCAAAATACTTGCATTTAACAAACCTTTGCTCAATTGCATAGTGACACACGTGTATCAGCTGGTAAAGAGTTAAAAACAAGCTTGCTGTTTAAGGCAAAATTTTAACACAGCATAGCAGAAAAAGCCAAGTACCAGGTCCATCAGTATTTAAACAAAGTACTGGCCCGTATAGTCTTAACCTCACAGTGTTTTCTTTCTTATTTTAATAGTGAACCCACACTTGCAATATGCTTTATGTTTTAGCAAATTTGTTGCTTTTTCTAAATGAAATTAAAACAGTTAATAAGCAGGCTGATTGACTGATATTGCAAATACCTGACAAATAGGTTCTCTTCCACCCTCCAAAAAAGGGTTTTGAGGCTACTGGCAGTTCAAAACTTACTTGTAGCCAGGTCTAATATAACATGTAAAATTGAACATTTAGTAAAATCGAACTAATCATTTAAAGTTTGCTAATATTTAATACAAGTTACCACATCACTTTGCTATCTCACCCTAAAATTATACTTTTAGCATTATTTTTCAATAGAAGACATTTAATAGATATCTGAGGAAAACAATACAATACAAAAGCTGAAGGGTCTTTGCAAAGAGATCTTCTTTCTGCAAAGTAGGAAATAAGTGATTTTATTGGCTTTTTTGAGTGCCATCAAGAAAGACACATGGATACTTAATAAAGTGAGAAAATAAAGTTGTAGTGTTCCACATATATCTTTGGTTTAACCTTCCTGACCAAAATCTTCTGTAAACTTCTTTAACTTCTCCAGGTCCTGTTCATTAACAGTTGGTTTTGTGCTAGCTAGTGACCTGAGCATATCAGTCTGCCAGAGAAAAAAAGAAAACAACTGTTTTCAGAAACAATACTAGTACCACATTTAACACTCTTTGCCCATATAAAATTACAGGCAAAAATGCTCACATTAAAAAGCCTTTTAAAAGCAAGATAATTATTAGAACTACTATTCACACAAAACTAAGCCAAAATATTTCTGCACCCAGGCCACATTTTAAACCCGTGAAGGCAGATGGTAACAGTGGGTTTTCTAATAATGAAACCACAAGTCTCAGGTTGAGGTTTCAGCCACTCATTTATTCTAAGAATTTTACTCATCACTGCTTCCTGGAAAGAACTGAAATGCTTCCCCTGTCCTTCTTGTCAGTTACTGTTTCAACCCAACCTCAACTACAATAGTTTAAGGGAAAAATCAGAACATCTGCCCTATGAGGAGAGGCTGAGGGAGCTGGGCCTGTTCAGCCTGGAGAAGAGAAGGCTGAGAGGGGATCTAATCAGTGTATATAAATACCTCAAGGGAGGGAGTGCAGAGGACGGGGATGGTCTCTTTTCAGTGGTGGCCACTGATAGGACTAGAGGAAATGGCCGGAAACTGAAACATCAAAAATTCCATAGGAACTTAAGGAAAAATTTCTTAACAGTGAGGGTGACAGAGCACTGGAACAGGCTGCCCAGAGAGGTTGTGGAGTCTCCTTCTCTGGAGATCTTCAAAACCCGCTTGGACGCAGTCCTGTGCCACGTGCTCTAGGTGTCCCTGCGTATGCAGGGGGGTTGGACTAGATGATCTCTAGAGGTCCCTTCCAACCCTAAGCATTCTATGATTCTATGATTCCCCTGTACTCATCATAGTCCAACAATATAGACCAATATTTTATAATTTATCTCTAGCAAAATTTTGCTATTCATGACCTTTAGCTTCTGCATCTTCATTTCAGCTCATTTCTACTATAAATACTTTGGATCCTAGAAAATGCACAATTTCAGGAAAATTTCAGGATTATGAAGTCAAAAACAGAACTTTAAAAAAAAAGTGTTAATACAAAGGGATAAAAATACTGTAATCAAGTCCTAGCCAAGGGTTAACTGAAAAAGCAGATGTTTTATACTTCATTACTGTAAAACTGTGGACAAAGGTGAAAAATAACACCAGGGATCTGTAGACCTAGAATTCTTATGCAAGACTGCAGATTTTCTGAAAAAAATTAAATCCTGATCTGACAAGAATTGCTTTTAGACATTGAAACAAATCCCATGAGAGCCCTAGTATCATTAGTCTTTCTCAAGACAGTTATGTTCTATTTAAAATAAATAAATAAATAAATAGATGGATTAAAAATTCACTTAGACCATGGAGGCAGAAATGCTGGGGCAGGCCTGCACTTGCATGCATCCCTTTGCACTTTCTTAGTATGAAAAATTGCAGATAAGTCTTTCCGTAGGCACAACTGTACTACAAAGCAGAGCCTCTTGTTTCAGAGGTTTGTGATCCTCAGGAAATGCACTTCCATTCATTACAGGAATGATTCCACACAAGAACTGGCAGCAGCAGTTCTTTGTTATCAGTTCCCTCAGTTTCAGAATCTTCTTTTGTTCCTCTTGGGGGAAAAAAATAGAACAAGTATGCAGCCACTGTTTTCAAAGTGAGCTAAAATTTCAATTTGTCTTAAAGGATACAGAGTATATTTTATTCCATACATAGAAGTGCTCTGGCACTCAAAGAAAACATGTGTCAGATATGAAAGCCAGTTATATCACCTGTGATGAAATTTAACAAAAACTACCTTTATAGCCACCTGCTCTTATATCATTGGTTGTGCTTGCATTTACTTCATAGGCAGAATTTACCAGCAACATATCATTCCCAGTTTCTACTAAATATAGTTTTCCCTTTCCCCCTATCTCTGCTCAGGCTACAGTGCAATGGGAAGATAGGACAGCACAACACAGGGATTCTGCAGTTTTTAAGTGAATAAGACAACGAGAGACTAGCAGAGGGGGCAGATGCACCTAAGCATCTATCCTCTACACCACGAGAGGATGGCAGTTGCATATGAGCAGACTGCAACGACAAAAGAAATGCTTATCAAGGAATGAGATGGAGATCTGGCTTCCTTATAGGCATGCTGTACTGCCATGCCACATGTTGCGATTCAAATGTTATCTGGTATATTCAGCATTTCTAAAGCCAAACAGCTCATCGAAATATCTGGTGTATTGTTTGGGGGGGTGGGGGCGAGAAATAAGTAACCTTGCAGTCTTTTTATAGCTCTGTAAAAGAAGTAACCAACCTCACAAAAGATACTTACCATGGAAACCTGAGGCTCCAGTAATTTATCACCTGGGACCTCCATCCACGTCATTTCTATGGCGTCAGGATCCCCTGGAGAGCAAGGGGTGAACAAATCTGCCATGGTGTTTGGATTAGACACTGATGGTTTTTTTACCTAGAAATAAGGAAAAATGTTTATAGTAGTTAAGAGTTTCCAGAGATAACAAGAAGCTGAATATCATCTTTAGAGCATGAACATTTCTTCACTTTATACAGATGCCACATTCATCGAGAAGTGATGATTTCTCCTGTGAAGGAGAAATTTCATGGCTGTACTGGCATCAGTCACCTGGAAAACACACAGTCTTAGTGTCACAGATCCTTAGATTAACATCATTAGAACCAATGAGCTGCTTCCTATTAAGGTGTGAATTTCTGTAGCATGCTAATGTGCTACAAAAATCATGCTGGAGAATATCATCCTACCCAATCCCTGCTCGCTTTGGAACTGCATTCCACGCCAGCTTACAGCTTCTAAAATTTTCTCAAGAGTTATTCTACAGCGCCCCTAGCGTTAGAAAGCCTGAAATGGCTCTTAAAATCATACTTGGTGCACTGCAAATTTCCGAGCACCTTCTCTGACATGGTCTCAGTACCGTGTAACAGAAAACGGGGCCATCTAGTGGAAGAAGAGAGGCCATCCCCTTATCCCTCGCCACCACAGACAGACCCAAGGCAGAGGGCCCTGGCACCCCCTGCCTTTGCCCAGAGCACAACTGGGACCCACACGAAAAGTCCACATCCATGGGAGCCCCATCTCTAACGGCAGGGAACTGGATTCACTGCTCCAAGCGGATCTTGAAGCCCAACAGCGAAGAGCACAATTCTAATACTGAAAACACTTCGACAAACCTGGATCACCACCGTGTCTAACGCACGGAAGGGTTTACATTTGCTCATAACTGAGCAAAGCTCTGTGTAACCAGGGCAAGTTGTCTGTCATTGCACTGGGCATTAATAAAAGATTTTGCATATAAAAATAGGAAATTAAAACACTAAAGCACAAGTAGAATATACTTGGCTTTTGGCAGCACCCTCAAAGTACTTTTTTTTTTTTTTTTTTTTTTTTTTTTTTTTGAGGCAAAAGGGGACAACACCTAAGTGTTGCCTTTGGGCTGCCCTGCAAACTGAGACAGCTAGATCATTTCTTTCTTCTGGTGACATCCAAGACATGCATTAAGTTCCTGCAAATTTGAATGAAAGGCCAAAATACAACTCTTTGTGCAGAAGCATTAGAGTCAGCAATGGGTAACTACTTCACACATCGCTGCATAAAGATGGTAGCATTTAGAAAATCCCAGCAATACTTATCCCAGCAAAAACAATACTTATTTAAGAAATACTGTTTATATTACGATGTTGCTGCTGATTGGCCCCACAAAGAGATGCAGCAAACTTGTTTTTCCCTGTTTAAGAGAGATTTTTCGAAAAACTCCTCAAAAACTCTCTGCAGTATGTTTTCCATCATAACCACAGGTTGGAAATTTACTGTAGCAAGCAAAAAGTTAATGAAGTTTCCTCAGAGCAAACTCTGGAGGAATACATAGCCCTTCTACACTCAGGACCACACTGGATTAAAGTGTTCCTTTACCTTCCAAAGTTAAGCTGAATGTGTTCCTTGAATGAAAACTATGTTAAAAACAAATGTCTAACTGACTGTGGCTGTTCAATTAAGGTTCCAAAAATATTAAGTCTCATATGGCAAGATATTTTATGATTTGATTAATATATTACTTTTAAGAGTGGCAGGTGGACAATCTTTAGCATTCACATGAGTCTGAAGTACTGGTAGAAAACTTGTAACTCAAAACCAGCTGCCAACAGAAGTTGTATGGGACTCATCTCTTCACTGCTCAAGATTCAAAATTCTTTCTTGAAGAAATCTTGAAACTCACTCTTAAAAGTCACACATTCAATGAAAGCTTCCCTGTACAGATGTGAAAACAACTCTGTGAAGTGCGTCTTGACCTATCTTCACCTAGAATACATAGATATCTATGAAGTCAGCATTTCCAGTAAAAATGATTTTTTTAAAAAAAGTTTGGGTCAACTATGAAAAAAAACTATCTTTCCTGTCAAGTATTTAACCAACACACATCTTGGATGCATTTTGAGCTCTGTTTACAACCACTGATAATATTAAGATAACACTTTTTTGCACATAAGAGCAAAATAGTTTATGCAGTCATTTTCTGCATGAAGGTGTTCCATATTTAATTGAGCATAAACATGTATGTGAAAATTCTCTGGGGGAAAAAAAGCATTCCAAGGATATAATGGATTTAAATTTGTTAGTCCTAAAGAACTCTGCTTTAATCATATGAAGTTTTGGAGATCCAAACATTTAGAAGAAAAATATTTTAAGTCAGTTTACTGTTTACAGAGGATAAGCCTCACAACAATTTCAACAGGCACTTTAAAGTGCAGCTAGCTAAGGGCAAACTAGTCTTTGCATTACAGCAGCACCAGTAAGATGTTGCAGCACACAGCCCAGTGGCACACAGGCTTTGGCAAGGTATCTGGTAGCTTCACTATTATCAGAAGTAGCATTAAGTGATTCAGTGTTCTAACCAGAATGATGAAAACCTTTATTTTTGCTACATATGCTACATAAATATACTACATAGGCAGAATGTGCGTAAGCATAATCTGTCTGTTCCCATATGGATGAGGAATTATTTAAATAACCTAAAAAGAATATGAAGAACCACCTACATTGGTACAGAAGAGAGCACAACTTTAACCAATATTTTAAGTTGGATTTTATAGGCTTTTAACACTAAAGACATTAAAAAAAAAAAAAAATCAGGGCTCAGATTGCACAGCATGAATACCAAGGAACTAGCTGCATCCAACCTAGAGTAGGACCTAAGAAAAAGGAGGATATCCAAATATTCCCTTGGCAGATAAGTAAGAGAGCGCCTATACATTTAAAAACATACGGTGCTACCCCAAAACAAATTTTCCTTATTTGGGGAAAATTTCAATTTAAGTTCCTGAAATAACTAGAAAAAAAAAAAATTAGACCCTTACTTACTTTTTTAAAGTGAGTAGCTGATTGCACTTTTCTAACAGGCTGCATCAGTGCATCACGTACAATGATGCTTATATCTGCACCAGAGTAGCCATCGGTTCTCTTTCCAAGCTCTCGATAATCTGATTCTGTTAGGATATTTGGAGTTGATCCAAGGTGAAGTTTGAACATTGCAGCCCTGGCATGGTCTTCAGGTAAAGGAATGTAAATACGCTTCTCAAACCTGTTTTTAAACAGACAAAAGAAAAACACCACAGACACAAGCTTATACAGGTGTACAAAAAAGGTTACACAAAACCCTATACAGTTCATTTCCAATAATATTAGAAAGAAACAGTTTCATAATTATAAACTTTTAAAAATCTAAGGCAAATATTCAACTATCTGTTCCCATAAATCTGTAGCTAGCATAACTTAACATTCAGACTATAATAATTTCCTTTTCACAACAAAGACTTCTCCCTTCAGACTACAGTTTTCCTAGGTGCTCTCCAGAGTCTTTCGTTTTAACAGAAAAGTTTGAGGAGAAAATCCTTTTAGTGTTGAAGTATAAAGAAACAGCTTCCACATTTGAGAGAATTGCCTGATAACCACCTGAAAAACACTTCCCATGGTTTCCAGCCAAATCGGAGAAAACCACTGAAGTCTGGAGCAAATGTGAAGACGTACTCTCAACATGAGTGTCTGCAGAAAACTGATATCTGCAGTTCTTTTGAAGCAGTTATCTGTTTTCACAGCACGGATTACCTCCATCAACAAAAGTGAGTCAAAATTCTGTAAAGCACAAATTATCTTGAAATAACATGTGCCAAAAACATAAGGAAATTAATATCATTACTAAGTTACTAGAAATCACCCTTGAAGTTTTATGAACAAGAGCTAAAAAGCTATTTAAAATTAAGTAATGCTCAAATTCACACCTAAATTTATCTATGTAGAACTATAAGGTCATACAGGCTAGAAGGGACCCCTGAAAGTCACCTGGTCTCACCCCTTGCTCAAAATACAGCTGTCTAATAATCAACATCTGAGCTACAGCCTCATCAGAATACAATCACACTTGTCCCATAGCTGTATTTATGTCCTGCTGCGCAGCACCTTAAAGAAAGGTTGAGATTTAAACAGAGAGCTCTTTATACAGAAGTACAGAGGCTCTTCATAGGAAGGCAGTCAAAATACACACTGATACATCACATCTTGACTAACAGAAAAACACAGCTGTTCTGTACAACTTAAAGGTACAATTTTGTGAAATACCTCAAGGTATTCCAGCTATTCAGCTTGCTGCTGCTGAGGACACCTCTGGGGCCCCCTCTGGGCCCATACTCTGTATCCTGCCACCCTGCGCCCATTAGAAAAAAAAACAATCTGGAAGGAAACAACAGCTTTCTGCTTGCTCACGCAGCACTAGCTAACCGAGAGATCAAATAAACTACAGGATCAAAATGAGGAGGAAAAACCCACCTCTTTCAAGTGGCCACAGGTTATTATATTGGCCCAGTCCAGCTCATGGAACTGAGCCCAAGCACACTAGCTACATTTGTATGCACAGGCTGGAATACTTCTTCAGATAGTCTTAGACTGAACCTTTACCCCACAAATGCATATTTCTTACCAAAAAACAAACAAATAATAATAATAAAAAAATACCTCCTCCTGATAGCAGAATCCAAAACCCAGGGTATGTTTGTTGCTCCCAAGACCAAGATTCCTTCGTTGTCAACACCAACCCCTACATCCAGGCAGAAAACATTTAGTCGTTTTGAAGATAAGCTGACAGTGCTTTAAAACACCTTCAAAATTTAATGCACTTAAATTGCATATCTTATGCAAGCTATGCTTAAAATACCTACTATCCCCTCAACTGATCCTGATAGCCAGTAAGCTTACCTTGCATCTGGACTAGGAACTCTGTTTTAATTCGTCTAGCAGCCTCGCTTTCATTTTCACTTCTGGACCCACATAGGGAATCTATCTCATCAATAAAGATAATGGAAGGTTTGTTTTCTCTGGCAAGCTGGAACAAGTTTTTCACTAATCTTTAAAAAACAAAAAACAACATCTTCAGTTAGCTTTAAGGACAACAGAAGCAAAATCTAGAGTTACGATAGTCACTTCTCTTAAAGAAAATAATAAAAAATGTAGACTTAATCCAAGCATGGCAAAAGCAGTATTTACTTTTCTACAACGTCAGGCTGGACTATGCAAAACATCACTAAACACACCAAAAGGAACATGGCTTTCTAAGATTTTTAACAGCTTGAGATTTTCAGGAAATATGAAAACTTAGTTTTACACAACTTCATTATGAACTTTTTATATGATAGGAAAATACTTATAGTTGATTTGTCAAAAAAAGCCCAGTTGAATCTTATCAATATATTTAATGACTTTAAAAGGAAAAGAAATTGGAACATGCTAGGAATTTCTTCATATCACCAACACTAAAAAATACCATCGGGTTATACTTAGCCTTCTGTTGAATTTAAATAACAAAAATGTCTCTTTGCACTGTAGTTCTGTATTCCCTTTGCAGGAAAAGAAGAGTAGCCTAAGTTTTCCAACTTTTTGGAAGCAAAGAATTTGGTTAAAATTCTTTGATCAAATAGCCTATTTTCCTCATCCTATTAACATGAAATAATGTTGCCTAACTATATACCTGGAACTACTAGAACATGGTTTTGAGGAGCATTTTAACCATCAGATGAATGTCTTTGTGCAACAAGTTCAAGGGGCTTCTTAATTCATAAAGTCTTCATGGGAAGATTAGACAGGCAAAGATCTGCTCTTATAGATTGCAACAGATTTGTTACTTCAGACTTTCTGGACTTGTTAATACTCCATGAAATAATTGACATTTTCTTTAATGGCTATTCATCCCCCCCAACAAACTCTGCAGGTCTCTAAGCCTTCCATATTTTGTTTCAAAACAGGATACGGAATAAAACAGCTCACAAAGAAGGGACAGAACGGATGTCTCATTTTAACTGTGCAGTTGATATGGCAGAGCTAGGTTGAACATGGTAGTGGGTGGACTCCCAAAAGCATCACGGCAACACTTCAAAGTGGTGGGACATGGTGGGAATCACAGTGGTTGGAAAAAAAAGTAGCGTCATGCTGCTTCTGATATATTTCTGAGCTAGCTGTGAAAGCCTTCCAGAGCACTGAAGATCAATTCAACTACAGCAGCACAAAATGCAGCACGTGAGGGTTATCTTTATATGATACTACAGTGCAAAGCACAAAAAAACCCTCAAGTGTGTTTTCACAGATAAATGACCTTTTTGTCAAACTCTTGAGTGCACCTTCTCTACCTCTTTAACACTAACTGTCTGCAAATGTTTTCCTGGACCTCTGGCAACTCCACCATACCTTTCACTCTCTCCTAACCACTTTGAGACTAGATCAGAGGAAGACACCGAGAAGAATGTAGAATTGTTTGCTTCTGTTGCCACAGCTTTTGCTAAATAAGACTTTCCTGTTCCTGGGGGTCCAAACAGAAGAATCCCTCTCCAAGGTGTTCTCTTTCCTGGAAGACAGAAACCAGCAGCTGTCAAAACACAGTAATAATACAGAGCCTGCTTTTCTGATGATGCCTCTCTAATCTATTCAGAGATTTCCTATATCTACCTATGAAACTGCTGTCAGATAGACGATAATGACTTTATCAAGAGCTCAGTTCAAGTCTCCGGTACGTCAGCATACCACTCTTCTCAGACCCCAGTGCCAGTATTAACTGCAGCATTAATATTTAGAATTTGAAATATAAATTGTTTTCCTGACCTGTAAAGAGATGAGGAAATTTAATGGGCAGAATCACTGCTTCTTTAAGGGCTTCTTTGGCACCTTCAAGGCCAGCAACGTCACTCCATTTTACATTTGGTCGCTCCATAACAATTGCACCTATAACGGAAGATTGAATGGTGACACGCGCACCCTTTCAGAGCTTAAAGGACTTGCCCTTAAAAAAAAAAAAAAAAAAAAAAAAAAAAAAAAAAAAGTAACACCACTACACTATGCCCACACTCAAATTGAGTAAAACATGTAATCTCTAAAGAGATCTAAACACTGAATACTGATAGTCAAATTGAAGTTATTGAAGCAATTGAAATGTGACTCTTTGTATGTTTCACGACAATAAAACATGGACAATCGCACTGCTTGAGAGTTAGCAGCTAGAAGAAAGTTAGAAGTGTGGCTATGGTCAAACATAGCTCATAACTGGGCAGCAACGATGAACTTGGTAGTCATACATGAGTAGCTTCTCCAAAATGTATCCAAGCACTGCTTGCTCACTGAATTCCACCATTTTAATTTCTGAAAAAAATCAGAATTTCATTTTAAACAAGAAAAAAAAAACCCTCTGTAGTAGCAGTAGTTCTGATAGTTCTGGATTCAAAAAACTTCATCACTAAGCCCTCTTCTTCTAGAGGCAACTCTGAAGTAGATGAAGTAACTTACTAGACCTTTCCAGATGTTTAGAGAGAATAATATGAATATTCCTTTATAAAATATTTGGAGCAACAGATGAAAAGCTTCAGAAAAGTGACCTTGCTTGGCTTCAGGAAAAACAACAACACACACACAAAACAAACAATAAAACAAACAAAAAACAAGAAAAGAAACCCTTCTTCTACTCTGTTCTTCCAGTCAAATTTTATCACTAAGTTTCATCTCTCTCAATCAACATTTACCTTTATTTTAGCCAGCTGACTTATCCAGCTTGACTTGAGGCAGCTGGCCCTTATTGACCCTTCAAACTTTAGGTTGATTAGTCAAATACACCAAAAAACACCATTTTGCTTTGACTAGTTTTAGGTGGCAGAACTTGCATCCAAGTTAGTAATTTAAGATTAGAGCTTGAAATCCAAGCCAAAGAAAACTTAAACGTAAAACAAATCTTCTCATCAGAACAAATGCCAACCAACCCAATGCTTCTCTTTTAAGTATTCAAACACGCTGAAAGATTCATTTGTCTAATTTTTCCCAAGGAAATACGCTCACATTTGATGCTATAATTTTATAAGCAGTTTTTATCAGGTATTTCACTGACACGTTCACCTCATACCTTTGGAGAAGGGAGAAGTAATTTGTAAAATTAAAATAAAGCAAATATTCTTTTTAAATGATTCATAAACACATTTCCTTTGAGCTTTTTTTGCTGCGTTCGGTTGTTCATTAGATTGAAAGTAGCAACTTTTGTTAACATTTTGGGCCCAATAGCAACAACATACGTGAAAGTTGTTAAAAACAACTTTTGTGTTTACGTGTTAAAAACACGTAAAAAGAGATTTTGAAGCTGAAGCACCACAGGAAGTCATCTGTACCAGACATATTGTGGCAACCGAGATTACAGCGCTAAAAAAGATGACCCGTGCCAGGACACAACTGGAACTGGACATCATCAGTTCCCTGTTTTTGAAAATGGAAGTGAACGGCTGGAAGTTTAAGCAACAGAGCACAAGAGATCTCTAGATTTATAAATCAGAATACAGGAAAGCAGACCTACTACTATGATCAGCCAGTTTGATTGTTACTCGCCATTTCTCCCACAGCAACTCAAATTATTGTTAGCTTGATGAATACCCATAAATTGGGAAAATTCCAAAAGGTACAGTCAATTTTACTCCCTTGAAGTAACAAGGGAGTAAAATTAACTGCAGGAAATTTATGTGTCTGTTGTGTCAAGCAAAATAAAGATGAGTAGTCTGATGGCTGCCCAGAGTCCATATTATCTTGGGCAACAAACACTTTACAGTGCACAAAGCTACTGTTAGCTGCTCTACTGACTGTATTCAGCACTTAAGCTCAAAAAGCCAAAAAATTATGTTAATCAATCAAGATAACATAATCACACAGAACCACAGAATGGTGGAGGTTGGCAGGGTCCTCTAGAGATCACCTAGCCCAACCCGCCCTGCTCCAGCAGGGACACCCAGAGCACGTGGCACAGGGTGGCGTCCAGGCAGGTTTGGAAGATCTCCAGAGAAAAGAGACTCCACAGCCTGTTCCAGGGCTCTGTCACCCTCACAGTCAAGAACTTCTTCGTCATATGGAGATTTAACTTCCTATGTTTCAGTTTGTGCGTGTTACCCCTTGTCCTGTCACGGGCCACCACAGAGAAAAGCCTGACCCCATCCTCCCTACATTCTCACCTCAGGTACTTGAACATGTTGAGCAAATCTCCTCTCAGTCTTCTCCATACTAAACAGGCCCAGGTCGCTTAGGCTTTCCTCATAAGTTAGATGCTCCAGTCCCTTAATCATCTTTGTTGCTATACGCAGGACCCTCTCTAGAAGCTCAATGTCCTTCTTGTACTGAGGAGCCCAGAACTGCACACAATACTGCATATCCCTGATATGCAAGGAAATATTACCTGTTACTATGAAAAGGCAAGAATCCATCTACTCCATTTCTGATTTTGAGGACAAGCTTCTTTGTTAAAATAGTCCTGCATACACTAAGCACTTATACGATGCCATTACTTTAGCCTCTAAGTAATTTTATAATGCACTTAGGAGTAAAAATACTCATACAGTTTACCAGTAGCTACCTGGGATCTCATATTCTTCAGCTTTGGGAATACCTTCTTGAGGAACAAACATAAAGCACAGAGAACAGCAGACAAAGTTCAAAATATTTCTCACAATTTCCCAGCATATAAGGCTGTATTTTCCACAAAAACTACGTTTCTGTATTTGAAGAATGTATAATAGTTCGACCATGCAAAATAAAGAAAATGATAAAGCCAACCAACATGAAGACAGCCAAATTTCACAAGTCATTCCATCAAGTTGCCTCTATTTAAAGAAAGAGAAGCTTCAAAACTACCTTGAAGTTGATTCTGTAGCTTCTTTTTCTCAGGATCTTCCGACTCTCCTTCCCCATCACTGTCATTCCTGATTTAGACACAAGAAATAAATTGCTGAAGTACATATGAGACAGTTGTCTTTAACTGAAGATTAAAATGTAAGAAGCAGAAATATCATTATATACTGTATATAATGGCAGAAATCTTTTTTCCAATAAATGAATCTTACAGCTCTGCAAGTTTACATCAGAGTATCCATATATCCATCTCCATTCTAATTCTTTTTAATTCCCCCTCCTCACCATCTCAACTTACTCTTATGGGACACCTAGCCCTTCCTCAATACACCCCTCAAACACACTTGAAGCCAACAGAGAGGAAACAGAAGCCCTTTTGCTAAGCACTACGGAGGCAGCAAAACAGATTTTTCTTAAATATGGGCATTTATGCTTTACCTGGAATTGCAAATGCACTTGGTCAATTGAACCTAGTACCAAGAAACTCTACACTCCCCCTCTTGTCAGAGTAAAGGAAACTACAAGTTATAGGAAAAAGAAAAGCCTGCTTGGTGAACATTTGGAAGAGACGTCATGCAAATTCAGGTAACCTGACTGATATTACCCATTCCTCCTAATACGAAGGAGGATACAGTGCAGCTCACCCTTAAAAAAAAAAAAAAAAAAAAAAAAAGGAAATTGATAGATGAAATTAGTAGATAAGACAATAAAGGAGGCAGAAACCAGATGAAATTTCATGAGACAACTGGTTAGATCTAACTGTTCATGATAGCTAGAAGGACAATCCCACAGCAGTCCTTCCTGTGTGCAGTCCTTCCTCTCTCATTAAGCCAGCAGCATAAAGCAATTCTACCTGTTGAGATCACCTGATTCAGCTTTCCAACCCAAAATATGGGAAACAGATCTAACTAAGAGAGCAACAGGAGAGAAGACTGCAGCAAGGTCTTTGAATGATTCAGCCCACCTTGTGGCACTTGAACCTAAGATGCAGTTTGGCTTCTCCTTGTTCAATTGGGAGACCAATCAAATTTGAACCAGAGCAAACATCAGCCTTAATTGATTTCTAGTTGGTCAGTAATCTCATATAGAATAAGTGTCACTGAGCCTGTTGTTAAGTCTGATAAGCATGGGTTAACCTGCAACAAGTTTAACTCTTCAGTGAATATGCTACGCAGATGTAAACAAGCAAAGACAAGCTTATGCTACTAATGCATCTTATTTTTCTTAGCCACTGCATTAGTAGTCATCTGAAATGTTTCAAAAACACTACGGTTCAAGTGACCTTTGAAAATACGAACTTTAGGACAGGCTGAATTCAGAAAGTATTTTGCTTTTCCTTCTCCAAAAACATACCCTTTTCCATCAATAGGACCACACTCTTGAACTGGTTTTGCTGCATTTTTTTCCTTCTTTTTCAGATATTCTTTAAGCTTTTCTGCTCTGTCCAAGTATTCCGTACATTTCGCTCTGATACTCTGCTTTGCTTTATCGGTCGGTGCTTCATCTAAAAATTAGAAGAAAAATAACACTTTGTTAATGGCAACACACAAGCGTGTCAATTAGAAAAGACGACTTATTTGGGTCATCTTTATGTCTCATCAATCTATCTTTCTCAGGTACTAGGTAACCAAACATCTCCACTACTTGTTTTTTGCCTGAATACCATGGTAACAGAAGGCAGCAATGACCTATAAGAAATCAAGTAAAATCCTAAACTCTGCTTTAGCTTAAAACTTGACCGACAAGGATTAAGGACAGTGGTGCTCAATGAATGTTTTTGCTGTCAGTCATTCAAATCACTGTGCAATGTCTGAATAACTCCTTTTCTAGCCTATCTCATCAAGAAGCTGCTTGTGCAGAGCAATTTTTATTTAGAAACATACTTTAGTTTTCCTAAGCCCATTTATTTTAAAAAAATGTTCATACCATAAAGAAAAAATAATAATAAAAAAAAACCTAATAAAGTTGAGTCTCACTCAACTGTTCTGTTAATCACTGTAACAATATTTTCAACTGGTGATCCAAATTTAGTGTGGTTGATTTGAGCATGCATTTCCAGAAGCACATTAACAATGTTAAAAGTATAAAAGTACAGAAATTCATATTCTGATAGTCTATGTGCTATAAATACATAGCAAGTGATACACATATCATAAATGAACATGAAGAAAATGTATATATTTTTTAAGAGCTCTCAGGTCAAGCTAGCAACTCTTATCTGTCTAGGCTAGGGGGTTAAAACAGGCTGTTCCCTTACTACAAACATCAGACATGAGGAAAAAGGCACAAAAATGTGAAAATAACATGAAAATAATTATAAGAATACAGAAAACAAATAAAAATGAGAACATGCAAGCCAACCTTATACATTTGGTTGGCTAAAGTGTCAGTAAGTGCTTTGCTACTTAATCTCATAGTCAAAAGATGACAGCAGGACAACTCTTGAAAGGCAAATGGCACAAGTTAATGAGCAAAAGATGCTTCATGGGTACCAAAAAGACTTCTTGTCTTCCACAGTTTTCTATGCAAGAGAAGTACAGAAATCTCTGTATTCTTTGCCACAATTCTTCATGTACAGTCACCAATCCAGGACATTTCTGCAGAAGTGCAGGATATAGACAGCAAAAAAAAACCCAACAACAAAAAAACAGAACAAAAAACACCCAGCTCCCAGTCTGAAACAGCTGACCAGAGCAAGTAAAACAAACAACCAAACAATTCAACTTCTCACAGGAACAGAGAAAGCATATAATGCAGTGAAGGAAAAAGCTGCATAAAACATGAGCCCAGCCAAACTGCAGCTAACATGTTTCAGTCGATTACGAAAGTCAGAATTTAAATATTCATGTCAACACATGAGATCATTCTGTGCAATTTGATTTTAAAAAGTCTACGTAATCACTTAAAACATTGCACTTACATTTAACAAAATGGAGAAAATACTGCACAGCATGCTGGTACAAGCGGAATGCTTCCTCATAGTTTCCTGCTTTGTCTTCTTGTGCTGCCTTGGTAGCAAGGTCTATTGCTTTCTATAACACAAACAGATGATTAAAATGATGTAACCGCTAGACGACAACACTGTGGGATTAAAGGGACATTTTAAGTTGTTGCTCTGACTGGTTTTTGATGGTTAGCTTTTCTGCTCTTGAATCCAAGCTCTTGAAATGCCATCATGATTGCAATACATGCATTTTCACCACAGGTCCAGACAGTCCCAGCTGTGAGCAATGACATCCCTAAACTCTACCGCCAGCAGAGTCGTACAGGAAGTAAACAATTACAAGGCACTAAAACTAGTTCTATCAGTCTTCCAGCTCGATCCTGACAGGCAGCTTCAGAGACTGATTAGCGCTTCAGTTTCTCAGGGATTTGGCTTCCCAACAGCCAAGTAACAAGCTCTAGCCATCACTCCAGGGAGAGGGGAAAAGGAAACGCCACACAAAGCACACAAATAGCAACAAGGAACACATAAGTTGTTTTCTGCTATTTTAAAGATTTAAATTACTGCACATGTGGTTTAATAAATCCTGAATCCACACAACAAAAACAATGGCATTGGAAAACTGGAATTAGGACAATGTTGGCTAAACATGTCATACTATATCCAAAGAATTAACAGTAAACACTGCAAAACATAAGCCCCTGAAAAAGGACATCCTGTACCTTTGCTCCTTTCAAACAGGAAAGTATCTGTATCGTGTATTGGATTTAAAAAAACATACAGAAAAAGTGACTTTTTACATACAGAGAAAGTGATTCTTTGAATATTACAGTCTCAGTTCTGGCACCTGAGCTTGTAAGCATGATTAAGAGCTCTGCTATGAAAACGGAAATAATATACTATCAAGTTGCATAAGCCAGGCCATAGATTGCCAAGCATAAGTGCCCAAAAGGCACTGAGCATCAAACTCCACACTGATGAATAGCAACCTTCATAAGCAACAATGGCCTAAGTAGTTTGCTTTCTCCTCCTGCTTGCCCTAGGCCTTGTGATATCCCCCCCGGCATAACGCCAGCACACGTACTGCCTGGCCACGAGCTTGCGAATCATGGTCCAAAACAGCTGCGAAGAGGAAATTTTATCAGACGAGCATTTCCACTTTGCCCAGCAGCCACAGAAGCGAACAGAGCGGCACAACCGAGGGCTCACACAAGGCGCCCAACACGGGGCGCGCGCGGACGCCTTGCGGCCTTCCCTGCCGGGAGCAGCCCGAGCCCCAGCCTCGCCCCTCCCG